TCACTACATTTCTCATACAGTAGAAAAGCAGTAATTGAAACATGCTATTTTAAAAGGAATGGTTCAACACAAATAACCTCAGCAAGGAAAACAAGCAAGTACCTCTTTACAGCACGAGAAAAATACAATGCTCTTCTTCTTCAGGTGGCTCCTCATGAAGGAATAGAGCACGCTGACTTTCTGCTGAAGCTCACACACTATGTAGTTCTGTTCCAAAGTAGCAGGGGTGCTAACAGAATTAACAAGAGCAAACATTTAAAAGATGCCATTTTGGTCATTTTAAAATCCAGACATAGTGTCACATTTTAAAACAGTGGCACACTCGAGTAAATACTCCTTGAAAAAAATAAATAGCTTCTCTTTTCTATTATCGCTGGAAAATGAATTCAGCACAGACTAAAATACATTTTAAACCCTCCATAGAATAGATAGTAAAATGACATAGACAGTACTCAGGAGCAATAATACTAGGGAGATACACACTCCTTACAGCAATCAACCACTTGAAGATCAAAAAGGTAGCATTTACTCAAGGACAAAGTTCAGTAAGGCTAGGAGGAGGAATGGCGACAGGATACAGTGGTGAAGTGGTATGATTTTAAGCTGTGAGGATTAGACATTCAATGATAGAGGGGGGAAAGTGTATGCAATGTTGAATGGCAAACTGATTGGCTCTGGAAGCATTCACCCAATCCACAATAAAAAGTGTGATTACAAAAAGGGGCAAATGCATACACATATAAGCCAGCATGGCCCAAGAAAAGGTAGCACTGCAGACGTGTGAAAGGAGCTTGCTGGGCTGATGGGAATGTTCGACATCTCATCAAGGACTCGGGCTGCAGAAGTTCACACGTGTGCCAAAACTCAGATGTACAGAAGAGTTACAAGCTATTAAATTAAATTAAAATTTTACATAAACATTTAACGCTCATCAAGTATACAGATGTCTACAATTGACTTTGAAATGAATCAAAAATAAGATAGAATTACATCTAATCAGAGGGTGAATAAATGAGAAGTGGATGTTGTCATCGGGTAGCATCTAGGTGATGGGTAACAGGGTGCGCATCAAAAAATCCTTCCATTTGTGCTGCCTGCTTTACATTTTTCATTAATAAAATGCTAGAGAAAGACACATATGCATTCACTCTTTAAGATAATAAAACCACTTGTAGAACTGTATTTTTTAAAGATACTAAAAGAAAAAAAAATACATTTATAAAGCAAAAATCATGAAAAGCACAAATATCCTTCAAAAAGGAACTCTAAAATACAAGCTAATGGACAGTCAGCAATTAAGTACCATTCAACTGTCTAAAAAAGGAGGGGAGTGGACTGTCTTGGAGTCGAGAGGTGGTACTTAAAAAAAAAAAGTTCATGGATATTTAAAAGATAATGGAATGTAAGTGGAGAGAAAATGTTTTGAGAATGATGTACAAATGCGCTTTAGACAATTGATGTGTGTATGGATTGCGATAACAGTTGTATGAGCTCCTAATAAAATGTTTTAAAAAAAAAAAAAGATAATGGAATGTTTAGAAATCTCCTAATACAGTTATCAAAATAACGACACACTTTTAAACATACTTAAACACACACACATTTTAGTAGTACATAAACAGACATTCTACACCAGCAGTTCTCAACCTGTAGGTCTCGACTCCTTTGAGGGCCGAAAAACCCTTTCACAGGGGTCATTTAAGAGCATCGGAAAACACTTATTTCCGATGGTCTTAGGAACTGAGACACCACTCCTCTATCGTCTCCAGGCAATGTAGCAATGTAGTTTACTTTTGTAATATTAAGACCCATACTACACCATGCTTCAAAACAAAATTTCATTTGTCATTAGAAATAAATATTTCACAAATATATATCATTTTTGTGATTAATCACTAGGTTTTAATTATGTTTAATTTGTAACAATGAAAGTACATCCTGCACATCAGATGTTTACATTACAATCCAAAACAATAGCAAAATGACAGTTATGAAGTACCAGCGAAAATAACGTCATGGTTGGGGGTCACCACCACGAGGAACTGTGTGGAAGGGTCGCGGCCTGAGGAAGGCAGAGAACCGGTGGTCTACACCGACATAGCTTTGGGAAATACAGCAAGCTGTGCAGACGCCCCACTGCTCTGGAGTCACAATCTTCATGGGCATATTAAAAAGGTTCTGATAAGTGTTGCATTTCAAAAAAGATAGCTGGTTCATTTTAACATAACATTTGCTATTTATCTACCCTTCCCTTCAGTTTGTAGAAGGTAGATTGGTAAGTGGTAAAATACTTACTGACATCTTACAGAAGATAATACAGTATGTGAGCAATTTTAATTCATTTATTTACTATGCATAACACATCCTATAATAAACTTATAAAATTATGGTGTCCGACAACAGTAATATTAATTTAAAACACTGTTTTTACACTATAGTGCATACCTGTATCTTGCTTTCTCGTGCACCCACACATACTCAGGGTTTTTCAAACTCAAGCGTGCAAGGTCCTTGACAGATTTGGTTTGTGTTGCTGAGAAGAGCAAAGTCTGACGTTTCTTTGGAAGATTTTCAATAATAGCATTCACAGTATCAGCAAAGCCCATGTCCAATATTCTATCTGCTTCGTCAAGAACTAATACGAGAAAAAGCAAGGTGAAATAATATTTAACATGGAACAGGATGGGTGCAATGTGGCGTTCTGGTGAGATTCTTGAGCAAAAAAGAGGACATTAGTGGAAAAATAAATGTTATATATTTTATTGGGGGCTCTTACAACTCTTATCACAATCCATACATGCACCCAAGTGTCAAGCACATTTGTATATCATTCTGAAAACATTTTCTTTGTACTTGAGCCTTTGATATCAATCCTCATTTCCTCCTCTCCCACCCTCCCTCCCTCATGAGCCCTTGATAATTTATCTTTTTTTTCTGTCATGTCTCTTACACCGAATGCTGTCTCCCTTCACCCACGTTTCTGTTGTCCATCCCCCTGGGAAAGAGTTATATAGATCATTGTGATCGGTTCCCCTTTCCTCCCCACAACTTCCCCTTATCACTCCTGGTATCGCTACTCTCATTATTGGTCCTGAGGGGTTTATTTGTCTTGAATTCCCTGTGCTGCCAGCTCTCTTAATGAAATCTGGAGTTCATTTATTTTTTAGTTTATAATTACTTGGGAGTTAATACACATATTATTCCATAGCTCAATCATGTCAAGCAGAATTGTACAATTGCTACCACTACCAGTTTCCAAACACTCTTTTTCTTCCTGGACTCCTTGACATCAGCTCCCTTTTACCCCCCCAACCCCAAAACCCTTATTGTACCTATTGTTCCTATAGGCTCATCAATCCTGAGTTTCACATGCCAAAACACAGAAAAACATGTAACACAACTTCAAAAGGGTGACCCCAATAACATAACACCTCTGATATAAAGCCTAATATGAACAAACAAAAACAAACTACAGAAAATGTTAAAAATCAGGTCCAGTGTGCAGAGGCAGAAACAACAGACAAGGTTTTAACCGTTTAAGTCAGGTTTATCTCTTTGATATTCTATACTCATCTTGCCAATGCACTCTGCTTAGTAACCACTTTCCTCCCAACCCTCTATTCTGGATAGAAGGAGATCACCAGAGGCTTATTTCCCGTGTAGTTCCCACAAAGGTATCTTGGGCTCCCACTGTCAGCCATAGCCTTCTGCAAACTGGATTCTCACAATTAAGGCTCTGAT